TATTACCATGTCTCAAATCCTCTCGTTCGCCCAATGGAGCACTGATCCTAGTGCGAATCAAGAGCGACAGCCAGGTCTAGCCTTGCCTCGCTGTCGCTCTTGATTTGCAGTAGCTATCACCCGGCCTCAGCTGCAGCTGGCAAGGTGGCGCTGCAGCACGTCACAGCGAGGGCGACCTGTGTCAGGCATGTCATGTGCGATCGCCAATCGAGGCCTGCTGTATGTGTCATAGGGTAGGCCTCGGTTGGCGATCGCATGGAGCTGACTTTGGGGTTTAGGGTTTATAGGATTGGGGAAGACTGGAATGCAGAGTTTGTTTCTGTCTGCTCCGTGTTGCGGTCTCTGTCTGCTGCTGAGCAGTAATTGCAAGGGCGACAATTGTGGTTGGAGTTTTGGGAGCGCAGGCCTGCACTCCCCTTACACAACATCTCAAGAAGAGCAAGAAGCGTGACGAGCTCTGTGTTGTGGTCTCTGTCTGCTGCTGAGCGCTAATTGCAAGGGTGACAATTGTGGTTGGAGTTTTCGGGAGTGGAGGTTTGGAGCTTTAGAGCCCCAGCCCAAAAGGCGACCATTCTGTGTTGGAGTTTGGGGAGCGGGGAGCGACAGAGTGGTGATCTTTCGCCGCCGAAAGATCACCACGCCGTCGCTCCCCTAAACCCTAATCCCGAAGCTGAGCGGATAGTATAACCGCAATGTTCAAGGGTTACGACGTTCGTAGCTGCCTTGACCATTGCGGTTAACTCTATTGTCTGTCAAAGGGATATTACCTGGTCATGGGCTTGTTGGTGCTTCAAGCTGGCTGCTACGGACTCTGTTGGAGCTCCTTCTGTACCGGGGAGATTGTGTCGAAGAGGTTGCAATGAACCCTGTGGCCCGTGGCCGGCTTTTGCTAGAAACGACAGTGGAGCAGGTCTGCCGGGGAGACGCAGCCAGCTCGAGCGAGGTCATTTGAAGAGCCGCTTACGGATGTTCTTGGCAACGGGTAAAGGTACATTCTTCTGATCTTTCTGGGCCTGGTTCTCGTGCTTGTCGGTTACCGATACGCACGAGAAGCAGGTCCAGAAAGATCAGAAGAATTACCTTTACCTGTTAAGATCAGCGCAAACCATGGAAGGAAAAATGAGAGAGGTGTGCGGCTGCGGCGGTGCCCCGCAAACCGGGTCGCCATCCGCCAATGCCCCGGAGCCGGGCCCCCTTACGGGACGGGGCCGCTCCCGGGTACGGGCGGGTGGCCACCCGGTTGGCCGGGCCGCGCCGAAGCCGCACACCTCTCTCTCTGTTTCACCCAGTTTCACCCGGTGAAGCTGGGTGAAACAGTCTCTCCCATGGTTTGCGCTGATCTTAACGCAGGCTGGCGCAACGGACGGGAGATGGGTCGTCCTTCTCAATTTGGTGCCATGCAGTGATCGAAGAGCTCTTTGCTTCGTCGTATTGGAATTAGTTGCAGTGGTCATGGGCTTGTTGGCGCTTCAAGCTGGCTGACCCCGTCATCATGTTTACAAGACGTGTTGGACATGCTTCCATGCTTTGGAGTTTCCTCATGTGTGATCGATCACAAGAGATTTGGTGCCGTTGACGCTGTCCACGCGTGAGTTTACTAGTTTGGAGCAAGCGCTTCAAATGAAGTGGGAATGCGAGGACACAAAAGTCGCGTGTAGTATGTTGAAAAGCTTCCGATGTGCTTGTGGCAGTCCTATGCGGTGCTCATGTCCATGTCTATTAGTTCAATCCCTCAGCTTGTTGACTTTCAAGTCTGAAATCAGCGTTATGGGAACTCAACTTGTCAGACAGCAACCTTTTCTTTCTCGTCACCTTAGTCTGAAATCAGCAGTCTGAAATCAGCCGTCTGAAATCAGCTTCGTCTGAAATCAGCAGTCTGAAATCAGCAGTCTGAAATCAGCATAGCCATGATGCCGGACTCAGAATTAAGTGTATAGTCCTTCCCCAGAATAAGTGTTCAATCCGCCACCAGAACCCTATAAAGAGTTACTGTTAGAGGAAACCCCTAAGCCATGCAGGAACCGACGTCTACAGCAGTCGGCGACATCTTTGACAAAGCCAAACGGGCCAAGAAGAGCAGCTGATGATGTCTGAGGCCCTACCCTACTTTGTTACACTTAAGCTCTCCAGGATCCAGCGGTCGGCCTTAAGGCAGCAGTAGGCCCACACCCCCTTAAGCTAAGCTCCAGTGGCCCTAGACGTAATCCGGCTATAACCGGTTATAATAGCTTCGGCCTCGGTTGGCAGCAATCGCCGCAGTTAAGGCAGCAGTAGGCCCGGACTCAGCCTTAAGCTCTCCAGGATCCAGGACTCAGCCTCAAGGCAGCAGTAGGCCCAGAACTTAAGTTAGCTCTCCAGGATCCAGCGGTCGGCCTTAAGGCAGCAGTAGGCCCACACCCCCTTAAGCTAAGCTCCAGTGGCCCTAGACGTAATCCGGCTATAACCGGTTATAATAGCTTCGGCCTCGGTTGGCAGCAATCGCCGCAGTTAAGGCAGCAGTAGGCCCGGACTCAGCCTTAAGCTCTCCAGGATCCAGGACTCAGCCTTAAGGCAGCAGTAGGCCCAGAACTTAGCCTTAAACTCCATGCTCCAGGTTTTCCTGGCCCAGCCAAAATTCTGTTACACAGTGCATGCAGCGACACAGGTTGGGTCTTCGTGCTGCTCCTGTGCCTCGAGCCTGGTTTTGGCCGCAGGTTCTGATGTGAGGCCGGACTGTCTCGCTGAAAATCGGGCAGCATTTCCTTCCCCCAAACATGCCGGTAGAAAGGGTAAAAAAAGAGGAAAAAACGCAAACCTCAAAGGTAGAAAAAGGTAGAAAAAGGTAGAAAAAGGTAGAAAAGGGTAGAAAAAGGTAGAAAAAGGTAGAAAAAGGTAGAAAAAGGTAGAAAAAGGTAGAAAAAGGTAGAAAAAGGTAGAAAAAGGTAGAAAAAGGTAGAAAAAGGTAGAAAAAGGTAGAAAAGGGTAGAAACAGAAAGAAATGGGGCATACCGTGTGTGTGTACAAATGAAAAAAATGGTGTTGGGAACCAGGCATGTCTTGACAGACAGGCAAAAATCGGAAGATTTTGGAATAAAATTGAAGAATTCCGAAGAATCTAGAAGAATTTAGAATAATTTAAAAACATGCAGCAGTCTTACGTAGAACAGGGAAGACTACAAGGCTTGCTCCAGACACTCGCACCAAAAGCATTTGCATGAATTTTGCATAAAAAAACAAAAAATTTCCTCGCTTCGCGAACATCCATATTTGTTTTCAACTCTAGTACTCCACACACACTAATTACAAGGCTTGCTCCAGACACTCGCACCAAAAGCATTTGCATGAATTTTGCATAAAAAAAAAAAAAATTTCCTCGCTTCGCGAACATCCATATTTGTTTTCAACTCTAGTACTCCACACACACTACAAGGCTTGCTCCAGACACTCGCACCAAAAGCATTTGCATGAATTTTGCATAAAAAAACAAAAAATTTCCTCGCTTCGCGAACATCCATATTTGTTTTCAACTCTAGTACTCCACACACACTACAAGGCTGGCTCCAGACACTCGCACCAAAAGCATTTGCATGAATTTTGCATAAAAAAACAAAAAAATTTCCTCGCTTCGCGAACATCCATATTTCTTTTCAACTCTAGTACTCCACACACACTACAAGGCTTGCTCCAGACACTCGCACCAAAAGCATTTGCATGAATTTTGCATAAAAAAACAAAAAAAATTCCTCGCTTCGCGAACATCCATATTCGTTTTCAACTCTAGTACTCCACACACACTACAAGGCTTGCTCCAGACACTCGCACCAAAAACATTTGCATGAATTTTGCATAAAAAAACAAAAAAATTTCCTCGCTTCGCGAACATCCATATTTGTTTTCAACTCTAGTACTCCACACACACTACAAGGCTTGCTCCAGACACTCGCACCAAAAGCATTTGCATGAATTTTGCATAAAAAAACAAAAAAAAACCTCGCTTCGCGAACATCCATATTTTTTTCAACTCTAGTACTCCACACACACTACAAGGCTGGCTCCAGACACTCGCACCAAATGCATTTGCATGAATTTTGCATAAAAAAACAAAAAAATTTCCTCGCTTCGCGAACATCCATATTTGTTTTCGCATCACTTCACGCGTGCGTGTCGATGTTTTATAGATCCTAGGTCAAACGAAATTTTGTAAGCAACAAAATTTTGGGCCATGACAATCTTTGCGCTACTCTTAGTAGTGCTTTACAATCCAGACTTTTAACAACTTTCAATCGCTGTTGCATGATTTCGTTTCTCCTGTCGAGCAACGATTTTTAAACCATGCGGTTAAACGGACACTTGGTCATGATTGAATCTGCAACCATCGAAGCTGTCTCGAGATCGAGCCAGAAAATTTTGATGGCTCTCTAGAGGCTTGTAATTCCGTCTAACAGGCCTGAGCCCTCCGTAACTCGGTGTTGCTCTTAGAGCGCCGTGCAAGAGCCCCGCCGGGGGCTCGGATGGATCCGAGCTCGACCCTTGCGGCCGAGTCGTCTTCCAGCGACACTCAAGAGGCCATTTCGGCCCACCTGCACGCAGTTCAGCTTCAAGTTAATTCCCTTGAACAGCAGCTTGCCTTGCTGCGATCAGAACTGCAGGAAGTTCGCCAACAGCTTGTGAACCTTGAGGCCGAAAGATACCAGCACTCCCTTCGCTTGGGGTGGCTGGAGCAACTTGTGCAGCGCGTTTCACGCGCTTTCCGCTTTGAGTGATTGTGCCTGCACTGGGGTACTTCGGGGCTGTAGTAGAATGGGGGATGATGAGAACAGCTCCCTCCCTTCGAGTTACGGGCTTCACCTGAGGTCGTGCCTGCGAGACTCGAGGTCTATTTGGAAGACCCCTTGGAACAATGCACTCGTTGCTTTTGACCCTAAGCCCCGCTTGCCGCCTCCTCTTGGACCTCTTCCACTTGTAGTCCCAGCGAACCCTTCTGCTGATCAGCCGGCCGTGCCGATCCCTCGCTTCATCAGGTCGGAAGGGCTTGAACAGGTGTGTGCGAAGATGGCCAAATTCAAACACACTTCATGGGAAGTTATGATCAACGAGGAAAGAAATCTTGCGGTGAATAAGTGGCTCAGCCTAGTCATGGTCGAGCCCTTGACCTTCGGTGTAGCTAGGAACTTCTACGCCGGCAAGGCATCGGGGATCTCTTCGGGATCACTTGCAGACAGCATTTCGGATTGCCTTGCTGCCAAGGCCACTTCGACGATCAATGCCAGGGCGAATTGCTTGTTGCGGTTTGTTTCTTGGGCAAAGGGGAACATGCCGTTTGTTTTTCCCTTGACCGAGCATGCTGTCTACGCATACTTCGAGGAAAGGAAGTCCACAGCAGCGGCAACTTCGTTCAGGAGCCTTCTTTCTTCGGTTGCTTTCGCTCAGCATGTGGTAGGCCTGGAAGGGTGTGACAAGGTTTACACTTCGGGTCGCGTCCGCGGCCTTGCGTCGAAGCTTTACATGCAGAAGAGGAAGCTCAGGCAACGGAATCCTCTGAGGGTCTCCGATGTCATTCTTCTTGAAAGGATTTGTTGCAAGCTTGAAGACAGGTCTTTGCAGGACCGTATCGCTGCAGGTTTCTTTCTCTTCTTGATTTATGCAAGAGCTAGATACAGTGACGGGCAAAATGTAGCATCGCTGACTGATTCGCCGCTCTACTTGGAGTGCAGTGTGGGCAGGTCCAAGACGAGTTTCACTTTGGAACGCAAGACCAGGTACTTGCCAATGGCTGCCAGGAAGGTGGGCATCAAGTGTGCATGGGCCGATGCGTGGCTTGAGGCTTTGGCAGAGGCGGGTCTTGCGATCAAGCCGAACGACCCGTTGCTCCCCTGCCCTTCTTCGAATGGTTCGTGGAAGATGATCCCGCTTCCGTGCGATCAGGCTTGCTCGTGGCTCAGGAGCCTGCTGGGGAACGCTCAGAGCGATCCCTACCTTGCAAATGTAGGAACACATAGCCTTAAGAGAACCTTGCTGAGCTGGGCAAGCAAGCGTGGTCTGCCCAGAGAACTGAGGGCCCTCTTGGGGTATCATACGTCCCGAGCCTCGGGCGCGGGATCAGAGCTCATCTATGAGTCCGACGCCCAGTCGGCTCCGCTCAGGGCTTTGTCATCTATGATCGACGAGGTGTCGTCCGGGGCCTTCAAGCCCGACAAACCAAGGGGGCAGCAGCTTGCTTCCGAGCTGTCGGCGAATGCCGATCCCGCGGGCGATGAGATCGAGTCGTCAGACTCTGAGGGCTCCGAAGACGAGGAGGAGATCGACCACTCAGGGGACGAAGCTTGTGTTGCCGAGGCTTTGGACTGGCATGGGAAGGTCGATCTTGACAAGATTGATCCCTCGTGTGTTTTCTTTCGGCATCGCCAATCCAGGGTAGTGCACATCACTGCCGACGAAGCCGGTGACAACCTAGGCTGCGGTAGGACCATTTCGGGTCAGTACAGGAAGCTGGAGGCGCGACCCGCAGTTTTGCATCCAAGGTGCAAGCAGTGCTTCAGGAGATACTTGATTGTGCAGCAGGGCACATGACTCTGCATCCGGCTCGTGTCTGCAATTTTGTGCAAAAATGGTGATGTCGTGCACGTGCGCTCCGCAAGCCGGTCAAGTGCTGTCATTAGTGGTATCGTGCAAGAGCAGAGATCTGGCGGATGTCGTGTCCTGCAAGATGAGTGATTTGATGAAGAGCAAAGCCCTCCTGCAGCTGCTTTCAGCTCGTAGTGGTCCAAGCAGCACACCATGGCGGCCTTCTCCGAGTCGGGGCCAGTGTTCAAATCACGATGTGCCCAAGTCGGTTTGGCATCTGCGGATGTCGAAAAACTCGAGAAGGTGGGTGTGGATTCACTCGCAAAGGTCGCTTTCATGACGAGCTACACGCCGGGCTCTGGCGATGACAAGGACCTCATTGCAGCGTTCGAGTCGGCCCTCGGGACGCCGCCCTCTGTAGGGCAGAAGAGCTCCTTCCGAAGGTGATTTCATGAAGCATATGCTGTTACCACTTCGGAAATGAAGATGCTTGTGGAGCGGACGGATGAATCCATCCCAAGAAAATTGAGCGTCCCAGAGAGATCTGAGAGGTTCGAGGTAGTGAGCAAACGCCTTGTGGGCCTTTCGATCAAGAACCGTCTTGAGCCTGCCGATAGCCTCGTCGACTCCTTCGTGTCCCAGTATGAACAGGACAAGCTGCAGTTTGTCCCGTGGGAGAAGCTTGTTTCCAAAGAACAAGAGGCCTCAACAGGGGCAAAGCGAGAGCCTTTCTTCTCGCTGGACAGTACGGGCAAGCTCAGGTCGGAGACGAAGGTTGAGGTCCGTGCCGATACTAGCACGGAGCTGCTCTTGCAGCTCGCGCTTCAAAGGCGCGGCATCGCTATGGAAATGGCGAACATCCTTGACTACCATCGTCACCACATGTGGGTTGAGCGCCTTCTTGCGGCGCGCCTCGACGCACCTCCGTCGACGCACATGCAGCCCACACTTGATCAGTGTCAGCAAGCTGACAGGAAGCTTTGGCAGCTTCTCGGAGAAGCGACTCGCTCAGGCATCCAGCTCAAAGCTGGGGGGCGTCCATTGGACGCCATCTTCGAGGACACATGGCAGTCACCAGAGGTGCTTCATCTGCTTCAGCCGATGCCTCGGGCAGCAGGCGCTTCAGTCACGCAGCAGGTGGCACCGCCGCCGAGGCCGCACGGGCCGGGCCCGTATGATCGTCCGGGCAAAGGCCGAAAGGGCACAGGGAAAGGTGCCAAGGGCACCAAAGGCAGCGGGAAAGTTCCTGCCGCTCTTGCGGGCTGCAGATCTTGCACCAATGCAGGTGAAAACATATGTTTTGGGTATGGACTCAAAACGTGCAGGGAAACTGTGACTCGTGGTCGCTGCGTGCGCGGATTGCACATCTGCGCATGGCCCAAGTGCGGCAAATCGCATCCTGCGCTGGACTGTCCGATGCGTGCTGAGGCTCTTAGCCAAAAGCAAGAGTGACAGTCGAAGAGCGAGCCCGGCAGCTCGCAGTTCTCGACTCAGAGTCGAGACAGCCCAGGCTTGGCTGGGCAAAGTTTTGCACCGCCGCAGGCTCCGCCTGCGCCGAACAGTTCTCCTTTAGCAGTTCTTGATCCGTGTCAGCAGAGTGCTAGTATGGATTCAAGCAAGTTTTCTTCACTTTTGCAATTGCTTCGGAGCGCCAATTGGCCTGACTCTGTCTTGCAACGCAAGTCTGTTTCTTCAGCGGACCCCAAGCAGTCGGGGTACTACAACTTCGGGCCCAGAGCCAGCTGTCCCCATCTCCTTACAAACGCCACGCTGCAGATGCGAGAGTTTGTCCAGCAGCTGAACTCAGCCGTCAAAGCACTTGTGCCTCAGGCGTCCTGGAATGCAATCTGTGTGGGCCAGAATACGCTGTCGGATTTTCACAGGGATTCCGGCAACCAACGGGGTTCTTTGAACCATACCTTCTCGCTGGGCACCTTTCAAGGCGGCCTGAAGATGCGGCAGGCACTTCCGAGGCCACGAGTCCCGCAGGCGAGCAGATCCGGGGCAGGGTTGTGAACACTTTTTGCAACCCCACTAGTTTTTCTTGCGACTTGTGGCATAAGACGATGCCTTACACAGGCGAGCGATGGGTCGTGACACTTTATACTCTGTCAGGTGGGCAACCTTCCGAGTTGCTCCCGTTGGGCTTTCCGTGTGGATCCGCCGCTGTGACTTCGCAGTCCTCTGGCGCGCAATCTCCGCCCGAGCCTGCCACTTCTGGGTCTAGCCCTTCGGTCCCCGCCCCTTTGGGTTCTAGTCTTCCCCCGCCCGCCGACCCGCCTTGTAAACGCTTGAAATCCCAGGATGCAAAGGTGTCGCCTTCGCAGCATGAAAAGCCTTTGTTCTTAGAGATTTGTAGCGGGTCGGCTATGCTGTCTTATGTCGCCAAGGAGGCAGGCTACACTGTTGTGCCAATCGATTGGCACCACAACAAACAAAGATCCTGTGTGCACACTCTGCAGCTTGATCTCCGCCTCGCCAGCACGTGGTCATTCCTGCGGCGCATTTGCTCCGAATACCATGTCGCTTGGATCCACATGGCCCCTCCATGCGGTACTGCCAGCAGGGCTCGCGAATGTGGGCCCGGTCCTAAACCGCTTCGGTCGCATCATCATGTGCGTGGGCTCCCTGGCCTTTCACAGGTAGATCAAGCTCGTGTTGAGAGTGCCAACTCCATCTACGACAACATGGAGTCCTTCTGCGACTGGCTGCTTCGATTCATGCCTCATATCCCGTTCTCCGTTGAGAACCCGTTGCACAGCTACCTTTGGCAATTCCCGAAGTGGGCCGCAATGGTCCAACGGCACTCCTTTGTCACATTTGACTCGTGCCGGCACGGCTCGCAACGCAAGAAGGCCACGGCCCTTCTCACTAATTCTGACTTCCTGCACTGCCTCTCGGGACCCTGTCCCGGCTGCTCCTCGCATCTCCCATGGGGTAAGCAAGGTCGCACCTTTGCAACCGCTGCAGAAACAGGGTATCCTAAGCTTCTTTGTGAACGGATAATCTCATGTGTGGACAAGTCGGCCACCTTGCGGGGCATTGCGCCGGACCGACTGACTGTTTCAAAGGTCTCTGCTGCACGCGCCGCTGGTCAGGTGCAGCCAAGAGGGCGCAAGTTCCCACCGATCATTTCCGAATTTGCTTATACCGTTTCTGTTGGCAGCGCGGCAGCCCCCACTCTCAATTCCAAAGAATGCTTGTCATCTGCATGGCACGGCGTCCCTGCAGGTTCAAAGCTCCTCCGGGAGTCAGTGGAGAGGGGAGGTTCGCGACTCCCTGAGGGCAACAAGTTCTACGTGTTCGGAGTGTATCGATCCATGCAGGCTTTCTTGAACGAAGCAAAGCTAGTCGTGCACCCGTTTGATTCCGCCAGGTCGCTCCCGGATGAACTTTTGCGAGTCTTGTTCGACACACTCACTAAGGGTCCGGTCGACACGATGAGACATCGCCTTCTTAAGCTGCAGCACTGGCGTGCCCTTGCCAAACAGCTTGAGCCCGAAGAAGAGAAAATCAGGTCAGCCATGGATCCGTGTGTGAGGAGGGTCCTCGGCAACAAGCGTATAGCGCTCATGAAGAGCGTTGCCGCAGAATTGTCGTGGCCTGACACCACTCTCTTCGATGACCTTGCAGCCGGTTTTAAATTAACAGGGTACTTAGGTCGCACGGGGGTCTTTGCTAGTGACGTTAAGCCTGCCACGATGGACCTTGATGAATTTTGGTCGAGCGCCCCGCTTCGCAGGGAAACTCTTCTTGAAAAGGTCAAGGGCCAAAAGGACCATGACTATGCCGAGGAGCTCTGGAACATGACGCTTGAAGAGTCCGATAAGTCTGGGAAGAGCTGGCTTGACGGCCCGTTCGATGTCGACTCTCTGGGGAGCATGTTCCCCGACGGTTGGAACGCCTGCCGGCGTTTTGCAGTATGGCAGGGCAAATGGCGTGCCATCGATGAC